GAATAATTTTCTACTAACTATTAATTCTACGTGACTGATGAACCTCTTCAACGATAATGAAGATTAGAATTCTTGCAGTGTTGGATACAGATTTTTGATGACACCCAATTGAAGACAATTAGAAAACATCATGCTATTTGAAAGTGTAGTTAAGAGTCTTACAATTAGCACTCTACGACCTCGTCTGGAGATTTCTCCCCCAGGTTACGTCAGTCATTATCCGTTGGCATGGAAACGGTGAGAACTCTACACGGTGTTTTTCCGTCGATAAGGACAACTTGGCGTGCTCTTCAAATCTCTTCGTGTCGAATATTAATATCTCTGACGTCAATGGTAGTGTGTAAGTCCCCTTGCTACTTTAACGTGCCTGCTTCACCATAAAACAAGGGATAAGAAGGCTTATACAACATATTCATACCACCACCTGGCATGCCGCATTGCAACTTTGAACCGGCGTCATCACTTCAAATAAAGAAGTAGAAATAGAGCCGTTAACGGTCAATGATCGCGCTTTTGGCTTGTGCGTATGTAGTCCAATGGGTGTCCTCCATTTTGAAAGTTTAAACGGCGTCATTATTTCAAAGAAAGAGGTAGAAATAGAACCGTTAACGGTCGATGATTGCACTTGTGTTATGAGTGTCTTGTGCGTATGTAGTCCAATGGGTGTCCTCCATTTTTAAAATTTTAAACGGCGTCATCATTTCAAAGAAATAGGTAGAAATAGAACCGTTAACGGTCTATGATTGCACTTGTGTCATCGTAATCTTCACGACTGCCTTGTGCGTATGTGGTCCAATGGGTGTCCTCTATTTTAAAAGTTTAAACGGCGTCATCATTTCAAAATAGGTAGAAATAGAACCGTTAACGGTCGATGATTGCACTTGTGTCATGAGTATAATCTTCACGACTGTCTTGTGCGTATGTGGTTCAATGGGTGTCCTCTATTTTAAAAGTTTAAACGGCGTCATCATTTCAAAAGAGGTAGAAATAGAACCGTTAACGGTCTATGATTGCACTTGTGTCATGAGTATAATCGTCCTAAGTGCCTTGTGCGTATGTAGTCCAATGGGTGTCCTCCATTTTAAACGGCGTCATCATTTCAAAGAAGGAGGTAGAAATAGAACCGTTAACGGTCGTTGATTGCACTTGTGTCATGAGTGTAATCTTCACGACTGCCTTGTGCGTATGACGTCCAATGGGCGTCCTCTATTCTAGTTGAATCATCAGCTAAAAATGGCGACGACGTATGCACGAATCGGCCAAGAAGAATACATGAAAGGGAAGCATGAAAATCTGAAAAAAAGTTGCAGTCGAAAAATTAATGCCTAAAGAAATTAATATATAGTAGAAATGCCTTGAAAAAAAATTAAATACTAACGTTATATATAGTACGTACTAACGCTTGCCTTACATTTTTTCCTAATCTATTCACCATTCCAAAAACAAGTTAGTGAATTGGCTGTGACATCTAGGCCAGTAGTGTATGGGCGCTAAAACCGATTTAGAGAGATTCCAGCACGTCCTGACCAACTAGTATTCGCATGAGTTTGGGGCCCTAGCATGCACGCTAACCTCTATACCAGGCTTCAGAGAGAAAATGTCTAAATAGACAGATAACATGCCAGCTGGGGAGTTGGTCTGCTAAAGTTGGTTTGCAGCTAGTCTCTACCAGACTAACTACGCTGGCTATATATAGGAGAATATTTGCCAGGGGAGTTTGGCCGCCTTGTAGGTTTGACTGGCCGCGCAGAAAGAAACTACCTCCCCGCGGCCGGACTCCCTCGGCCAATTTTACTCTCTTTTTTTGCCGAATTCTACGATCCGTATTCCCGTAGAAAGGCCTGGTGCAGCTAGTTTGCAGCGGTCAATTTCTATATTCTTGTCAGCCACTTCTGAAGCCTGGTAGAGGCTACATGCACGCTGCTCGTGTAGATACGTGTGACTGTAAGTGGTCGGTTGGGTTTTTAAGTTCTTGCAAAACGAAGTAGCCTTTTCGCTATCGATTCTCTATTTGTTTCGGTGTTAGCAAGAAACGAGGAGCTTAAGGAAAGCCACGTCTTGAGTAGGTTTAAGAACTCTCCATACATCTTAAAGGAGCAGGGGTAACCCGGAGTCGGACTTACCAACTCCTAGTGCAGTACTGAAGTGTCTCGCAAGGAGGCGATTCAAGTTACCGAGCTCATATCTTGTCATTCGGCAACTACCCTCAGTAGTGGCAGATGTACCATTCCCATACAGATGTGGTTAAACGTATCTATCTTTACCTTTACCTAGTCCCATCTTCATGTCTGAGGGTCGGGGACTATGGTGGCATCCAGTATCAGCCTCCTCCACTCCCTCCTGTCTCTGGCCCTGTGAGTGCACTCTGCCAATGGCATGCTCATCCAGCTGCAGTCACGGACATCGTCGCCCCGCCTCCGACGTGGTCTTCCACGGCTCCTCCTTCCGTTGATCACCCCTTGCAGTATGTGTGGGTGGTGATGTTCTCTGCTCGTGTGGCATGGCCAAAGTATTAGCTGTGGTTATTTATCCCAATTTTTTAGCACCATATTTTCTTTTATTCTAAAAACGTGCTAGTCACATTGTGTTATATTTTTATTAGTAACATATACTAGCAAAAAAATAAACAAATTAATAAAAATACATTTTTTATTAGTAACACATACTAGCAAAAAAATAAACAAATTGATAAAAATACAATTATCCCAAGAAAAACTTTTAGCACGTTTTTTTACATTTAAATACATTACGGTGCTAAATAATTGGGATAAATAATCAGATCTAAAGTATTGGAGTTTCCGCCTTTTTATAGTGTTAATAAGTGTTCTTTCAACTCCCAGCTGTTCTAACATAGAGTCATTTGTGCGGTGGTCCGTCCAGCTGATGCGCAGGATCTTCTTGTAGCATTTCATCTCCAGGGCCTGAATCCTGCGGATGTCACTGCCGTGTAGTGTCCATGCCTCACAACCGTAGGTTACCACAGGCCAGACAAGAGTCCTGTATCTATCTAAGACACATTAAAGCAGCAAATCGGTAGAACGTACTTCGCCTGTGAGAAGCCCGTATTGTGCCTATTAGCACTTCCGCAGGAAGTGTCATCTGATGATTACACACCGTCTATAGTTTTCAAATATGTCAGAAAAGATATCGTTACATAGTTAAACCCCTCTGTTAAGCAACCAATCAGCAATCACTTTTAGCATCCCCCTGGGGGTATTTACGCCCCACTCAACAACCAAAACTGGCAACTTCTATGGGAAGTAAAACGATTAGAACTAGGAAGGTAACATTCGCAAAGAAACTGCAAAATGTTTAACTTCACATGGTCTAGCCTAACTAACTACAGCTCTGTTCATTCTTACTTAAACACATTCACGTACTGGTATATGGTGACCAGCCCCTCCAACTGTCCTGCCACTTGCTACATAATGTAGTCGTCACACCACAGGGGGCCTGCTGTATCACCAGTTACCATGGTGACATCTACCTAGTCCAGGTCATTGATCTTTTGTGTTTGGAACGAAAGTAGGAGACTAAACAGAGCAAAAACAAGATACAACGGTAAACATACATGTAACTAATAAAGTTAAGAGTTAAAACTTTTTGTCCAACACAAGAAAAAGTTCTCTCACCTAGAGCTTTCGACCAGTCACTCTGGTCTTCCTCGGTAGACTGGCCCAGTGAAGCTTGTCACGTGGCTTCTTTGAAGTGTGACGTCAACACTAGGTCAACTCTAGGAAAGCTCTAGGTGAGAGAACTTTTTCTAGTGTTGGACCAAAAGTTTTAACTCTAGACATGTAACTTCCAACACAGATGAACTTTCATGATAATGTAACTGAGTTTAGGACGCATCTGGTAGCAATGGTTCCTGGGAATGGAGGTGTACGTGTATTTTGTTCAGATGAAGTGGATAAAATGACGTCATTCTGCGTGTGCTGCAATCGTTATCTACTATCTCATGTACATAACTGCACAAACCATTACCATACACGTGTACATGCATGCGTGCAATACTAGTACTCAGTACCTTGATTTGTGTGTTTGAAATGTTAAACAGCTTCTTTTCATGAAACGTATTAAACAATTAACTTGAAGTTTCTTGGAAATGGAGGCCTATTTTGTGCAAAAGTGAATAAATTAAAGCAGCAAACCTGGAAATATTCTGAATAAGGCAATCTTTGTGATATTGACAATAACTGCTTCACATCAGCATTTCATACTTTGGGCATTCAAAACTGCAGATACAAGCCCTAAGATGAGTCCATTATTTTCTGGGAGGTGCCCTAAAAATCAGCCAAGGGCCCTTCCAGTAACCATTTTTCGTCAGAATTTTGGGAATTTTTGCTCCATGAGGGTCAATATACACTGGGATAGTGTGGTTTCTACTCAGTTTGTCGATAAATGACTATTGCGTGTGCTGTGGTTGATGTCTAGAATCTCATGTACATGTACATAATTGCACATCCATTACCATACACGTGTACCTGCATGTGTGCAATCATTCGGGAAATCCACACAATCTGGAGTTCTATTTGCTTACTCTCCAAGCAAAGGTGTTTTTATGCATTTTTTTCTTAGACTTTCTGTTTTGTACTGTTTTGGTACATTTTCTTTTCGCGAAACTACCTGGCCAATTTTATAGCAGCCGCCATCTGCTCGAAGATTACGGTTTCCTGGTACCAGGTTGGCCTGCATCTGGTTGCATCTAAATTTTGGTCGTTTCCGACTGGTGAAACACGAGATCTCATCGAATTTTGTCGTTTTTCGTAAATCTTGGTGCAAAATCATGAACACTGTGTCCATTATGATATTCCAAAACACCGCAACCGCAATCTTGTTGCCAGGTGCTTGTGCCTCATTTCCTATTCCTTTAATTTGCCCGGCCACATTGCTCCGCGCAGCAATTCAGTTGCCTGGACACTAATAACCCGCAAAATTGGGAGAAATGACGGGATAATTGTGAACTTGGGCCAACAGGAAGTGTGTGCTGGCTAGCCTGGTCAGACAGAGCCGTGTTTTCAGATTCAGACAACCGGTCACAGGCTCGAGTGGTCGAAGTTGTTGTTAGAAAGCACATGGGAACACCAGAAAACGACATCTCTCTTCGCCAGTTAGAACGGACGGGAAGACAACAACAGCAGGCAATGCAGACTGCTCTGGTGACGGCAGAACTCAGTCAGCCCTTGCGCCAGACACCGACCGTGATCGAGACAGCGGCCTCCCCGCCATACGACTGCACGAAAAACTACGATTTCCAGAGAGACGACGCCATGCAGCACACAGAGGAGGTGGCGGGCGACCCGCTCTGCCGTACCGCCAGCCTGTGGAACAAGGTCCGCCGGAGCGACGTCAGATGCTCCCTGCAGGGTACCCCCACGTTATTCTCGGCTGCTCAGTGCATGATCCAGAAGGTCCAGCGGAACAAAATGGCCCAAGAACAAATGAGAGCGAACCTTCCCCTGCCACGCTTTCCTAGGAGCTGCCCGTGCTCACCACCCACCGCGCGGGGAACGAAAAAGGCGGGAAAAAGGATCCACCTCTCCCCGCCGACCACTGCGCGGCAGTACGCCATGTCGTCCCTCAAGAAGCACACCTGGCATTCCCTCAGCATTTCAAGCGATGAGGACGAGACGTCCAGCCTCGCGTATACCGAGGGGAACGAGGAAGGAAGCGAGGAAACACAACGAGCAACATCGCGTACGGACAACTCTGTTGTAAGCGCTTAGCCTGGTGACAATTCTGTTTGTCCCGTCAAGGACTAAAAACTGGAAAAAAAACCGGCGTGCGCTGATGGACCTCGGCGGGCGGGTAGTACTCTGAGCACCGTAAAGATACCGGCGAGACTGCGATGGTCGGGCTCTCGGGCTCTCCGTTCTATGTCGGTTCATGAAAGGCACGAGTTTTCCGAAGAAACATATGTAGGTCTATGCATTGGTTATATATTATGATTGCAGAATCTGAGTTTGACAGAAATTATCAATTCACCAGATAAGAAATGAAATTATAAAAATGTTGTTAGAATAGATCTAAATTTGGTCCACCAATGATAACAGAAACTGTGTCTAAGATAACATGCCGATTCAGAAGACAACGAATTAGCGAACCTTGGTCTGTATAACCTATTTGGTGATGTAGACATTGGGTGATATTTAATCCACTAAAAACGTCATGTAAATAGCCACTTCGCTAACTTCTCAAGTATTATTCAGTTGCTTGATATATTTTGTATAACGTAATGTCCGCCTGGATGTCTAACCTCTATCGAGGTATCATGTAAATAACCTTAAGTTTGACTTCGCAAATACTGTACAGCCGTATTAACAATGCATCCAGTAGGGGGAAATGCTGATAAGTACACCTGTGATGGATACATAATGTTATCACGCACTGATCACGTGCTACTTAATGTTATCACGTATTTATCACGTGATGATCACGTGCTAAGCGGAGGCATAAATCTCAAACCTCTGGGCAGTGTTTGTATGATTTGATCAGTGTACAGTTTAATTACGCACTGATCACGTGCTACGTAATGTTATAACGTATTTATCACGTGATGATCACGTGCTAAGCGGAGGCACAAATCTCAAACCTCTGGACAGTGTTTTTATGATTTTAGCAGTGTACAGTTTATGTTCGTTTCGTATGGAGGCCTACACGAATGTGACCGCACGATACTAACTATCTGAAACAACGTCCGCCAAACTATAGCCACCTACAATTATCAATCAACCAAGCCTTGTACAGTGTACTGTTCTTGAAAATCACTATACTTAAGTCTAACGAACTATCCTGTAATCATCCATGCATCATTTGGCTAACAGCAGCTGCAAATGTGAAAAAAGGATTCAATGTCAATAAACTCTTATGTCACCGTTTGATAGAGTCCATTCTATTTTATTGATTTCATGACAGTACTAGTATTAACTCGAATGTGCAGCTCCATCACTTTCAGCACCAGGGACAGGGTAGTCTTCCATCAGGCTTTCTTTCAGGGATGTGTATAGAAATTCTTCGTTTTTGCATAAGGCCACACCAAGTAAATTTCATGGATGACGTCCTTTGAAGACCCTAAATCTAATGCGAGAGGGCGAAAAAAAACAAGAAGGGCCCTAAAAAAACAAGATGCCTAGATTAGAAATATACTAAGAGACGACAAATGTTAGGACACAAATTGAATGAGGTGACACAGTGTAACAAGCAAGAAGTCTTTTATTCATCATCAAAACAGCAATAAATCAGGTGGAACAGCAGTTATTGTCCTGTGCTTTGGGGAGATAGATGGAGCGGTCAGCAAGTTTCTTCAAATGTGGCAGCACGTTCCAAACTGAATTCCTAATGGAAGTCTTGCTTGATGCTTTATAAGCTTTGGTCCGTACAAACCTATTTGCGGCACTGTCATGACTCTTTGGTCATAGTTACAGGAAGCGGAATTTCTTGTTTTTTTTTCTAGGAACAGGCCAAAATCAATGCGCGCGCGGACGTCATCCATAAAATTTACTTGGTGTAGCCTAACCTGTAAACTGCCTTGAGGAGTAACACACTAAATTTGGACAGTGAGTAAAACCAGCGGAAGACCAGACTGTAATAAGGTTTGTTCCGATCACACCAGGATGGACCCCTCTTTTTCTATGTGTAGTGGGTTATTTAACGTGCTCAACATATGGTTCTCAAACACAGGACCTCTGGCTTTATGTCCCATTCTAGAGGAGGTCCCTAACCAAAGCTAGGCATTCAATGTCACCCGATTTGACTATGAAAATAGGTATTAAGTGCCAATCCCAAGCGCACAACATTGGGCCCTGCTAGGAATTCAAATCCAGAACCTTTGGATTCAAAGTTAACTACCCTAACATTGGGTCAAAGAGTATCAAATCTTTGGTCCAGAAGCTACCCCTAATTCCTAAGGTCACAGCAAGTAAATTTCATGGATGACATCCTCTGCAGACTAAAAATCTAATGTGAGCGGGCGAAAAAAAAAACAAGGCAGGCAAAAAAAAACAAGGTTCCTACATTTTAAAATTTTGACTAAATCATGGTACAAATGGTTTTGATTCAGTGGGAACATCACATATACACAGCCAGCATCACATATCACTGCATCAAAGTAAGAAACAAAACATTAAATCAGAGTCTTTTCTTGTCTCCTCTCTTCATAGTTATCTGCCATCCATGTTCCGGCATGGCAACAGACATCTTTGCCCATTTTTGGCATGTTAACCACTGTCAGAAGGCAACAAAATTTCTTGTTTTTTTCCCCAAAATCAGCAGAAAATTAATGCGCGTGCTGATGTCATCCATAAAAATTACCTGCTGTGGTCTAAGTTTGATTCTTGCTCTATTGACATCAGATTGGGAAAAGGTCGTAGTGCAGCATCCCTGGAATGGTCTATATGGGTTGCTGGCTGGGGGTTCTAAATCAAGCATTAGTGGCATACCCCCTACTCATGATTGCACTGTCTGATTATATCCTCCTACTTGTACATCATATTTTTCATGTAAAAAAACAGCAAAGAAGGACATAAAACAATCATTATCTCAAGCAGCATATTTTCCTTTATTACATAGAGAAGATGTGCTTTTGATTGAATAGCACAAAATCATATATAGACACAGGGAATCAAAAACCAGTGTAGAGTGCACTGATGCAAGAGCAAATTGGGGTCACCTTCATTTTTCCAATGTTACAGTAGTGTCTGGATCTATATAATTATAATCAGAAGGCACATTCTATGCAAGGTGCCCTGAAGCTCCAAAATCGATGTTAACAACCCTAGCCACACAGGGTCACATTAGGACATCAAATCCTGATCATCTTTAACAAATGTAACAGAAAGTCTGTGAACCATTTAAACTGTAAATGATTATTCAATGATGATTCAACAGTTTTGACAGTTGTCTTGCGCATGTGAAAAAAAAATGCATTCACCATTGTATTTTAGATTATCATTGGTGGCACAAGCAATTTGAAGGCAGCTGTTTGTGTTAGACCTAGGAAAAAAATGTTCCAGTCCTGAAAAAATTAAGGCTGGTAGGCAGGGATTATCTTTTTTTTTTAGACTTTGGCGATCTTTAGTGATCCAACTTTCTAGTACACAATACAGTAAGACTTGAATTGAGGACACTTGTATGTTCAATGCCAATGTTGGAAAACCGATCATAGAACGTTTCATCACTCAGGCGTCAAATCATGGAGCTCAGGTGTCAAATCATCAGCAAAGATGGTGGACAGGTTCTGGCAAATGGTTGCCTCTTTGTCTGCCAGTTCTTGTCCTGCTAGCTGCTGAATGTGATCCTGTGCTCTGACAAGCTCATCCACTGGAGTTCGAAAAGACAAAATATCAATATCAATCAATCAATCAATCAGTCAGTCAGTCAGTCAGTCAGTCAGTCAGTCAGTCAGTCAGTCAGTCAATCAATCAATCAATCAATCAATCAACAAATCAATCAAATGCTTTATTTGTGAAAACAAACAAGAACTTGTAGCTGTTGCCTAAATTGTGTCTTGCTGTACAGTTTGATTTCTTAACATTTCTGGCATAACAAATTAAAATTGATAAGTTATTTGATAAAATCCACATAAATTACCTAAAAAACAGTTTAAAGTTCAACATTAAAACAATCTATTACAGACTAATATGAAATAGTAACATTTACAGTATTGTACAAGGTAATAACAATAATAACAATACACAATAATATAATAATACACACAGAATACAGAGACAGATTTCCCAAATTCATCAACAATGCAAGTCACATTTCAGGTGGTCATAAAAGTTCCTGGTAAGAATTCCATCATAAAAACGTACCTTTTTTCAGGGTCTCTGTTGTACCTTTTTGTTCCAAACTCTCCCTGTACCTGTGAGAAGCAATAATCCTGGTTTGTACTTTTTTCTGTAGACAGCCTGATCATCAAAATTAAAAAAAATCACAGATTTTCAGAATATAACACATAATAAGTAAAAAATTTCAACTCTTTCTTGAGTTACTGTCATGTGCAATGTGGTTTTTACAGAATTCATGCTACAGAACAGTGAGACACCTGGTCAGGTATGTGTGTAGCAGCTCCCCCTTGTCCTGAAGGTGGAAGTGCAGTCCGGGTAGGTCCTCTTTGCCAGTCAGTCCAGTCAGATGCACCAGGCTACAGCACAGCTGACAACACATTAGCACCAGATGTAAACTCACCCAAACAATTCCCAGCATACAGTAACTGAGATTTCAGATCAGGAAGTGTATTGAGCTTTCATAAGGCCACACCTATTTGATTTGTTGGTTCTCAAATTTTGCCTCTTACTTTTTTTTGTGATCTACAAACAAAAAAGAGCCTGGTTCTGAATCAACTCAAAAATGCTCATATTTTGCCTGCAACAGTTGAGGAAAGTCCTTAACTTCCTACCGGTAGTTGTTACAGTTTTTCCATCTATCAATGCAGAGGTTTGATTAAAAGTTCAAAATTCATTGTTTAAATATTAAACCAGCCTTTTGTGTTAACTTCATGGCTCCTATTGTAGCATTTGGGGCTAAAATAGGATGTCTAGATCTGTATCTATTATTTCATTTCGCTCTGTCGCTTCATATTTTTTCTGACAAAATCTGAGAACCAACAAATTAAATTGGTGTGGCCTAAATGGAACTGTGGAGTGGACTGTATGATGTAATACAATTGTGTTTATACACACAGTCAACCACTTCCTGCCAAACTTACCTGTTCCCTCAGTGTATCCCTGTACTTAAACTCACTGAAGTCCTCCACACGTTCTGTACCGACTAGGGCATCAGCCAGACATCCCCACAGCTCACAGAACTGCTCCTTACTCCCAAAGTACTCCCGATTGGTTGGGACGGTAAGGGCCAGGGTGGCATTGATTCGAACCTGAAACACATTGTGAACAAGTGACTTTAATTCACGGCATAGTCACACTTGTCATAGGTTGCCTGCAGTACAATTTTGATTTTGAATTTTCAAGTAGGGAGTGACAGAACCAACTGTCATCAGCTGAATTTTGTAGAATCCCAAGAATGCCCTCAGTTTGAATCTTAGGCCACATCAATTTGATTTGTTGGTTCTCAGATTTTTTCAGAAAAAATATGTAGCAACGGGGAAAAAAAATAAAAACAGGGCTAGGCATCCTATGATAGCCCCAAATGCTATGATAGGAGCCAAAAAGTCAAAATATCAGGCTGGTTTGTAATTCAAACAATGACAGATGAATTTCAAACCACTGCATTGATAGATGAAAAACGTTAACTGTAACACTGAAGAGGAAGGACTTCCTTCAACTGTTTGGGCCAAAATATGAGCATTTTGAACTTGAAATGTTTTTTTTTCGCAAATCAGAAAAAACAAAGCGGGCAAATCAGTGAACCAGAAAATTAAATTGGTGGGGCCTTATCACATTATGTACATGCATGAGACCAGGCCCTAGGTAACTCTTAGGTTACATGCTTGAATTGTCATGTTTTCTGGGAAAGAAGTTATTCAGACAAAGCTGCAAGCTGACATACTGTGCCTGGCAGCGTTCCCAGACTGGCACGGTTATCAGATAGTCAGTATCAGATGTCTTCTGCAATAAACTCCCCATTTCACCATATGTTTGGAACTCATTTGAATCTAGATCAAAGCTGTTTTAGGATTGTGACCAGGCCCTAAAAAACACAAATTTTACATTTTTGAGTTACCATCAAGATACTATATAGGGACTTACTTTTGTGGTTGAAGGCAAAAGGAGGTTTTCATAGTGTTTTAAATTAACTTTATATTTAAGATTTTTGGTCGGAACATTTTGTAGTAGTAAAACAATGGAAACGTGGTAGTAAAATAATGGAAACCTGGTAGTAAAATAATAGAAACGTGAAATACTATTCTCATGATTTTGGGTTGGACAAAACTAAAACCATAGAGACTAGAGAAGTAACATTTGCAAAACAAATGCATAATGTTTACCTTCGGACATGGTCTGCTCTGTTAATTCTTACTCAAACACATTCACATACATGTACTACTAGTATATGGTGACAGGAGCAGAGCAGACCATGAAATTGCAACATTATGTAACCCAACACCAGTCACCATGGTGACAGACATCAACAAATCATGTCATTGGCCAAGTCAGAGGTCACTGTTTGGAGAAGAAGAAGAAGAAGAAGAAGAGGAAGAAACTGAGCAAAAACAATATGTTTTCCTTCGGTAAACATAAATATTTCAAGAGTTACAGTATTTGGGTGGGGATGGGAATGAGAATGAATCTGTTCTGTACCTTGAAGTTCTTGCAGTCTTTGATGGCCTCTTGCAGGGCAGTGAACAAAGCAGGAGCCCAGGGTGCCACACCCAGGGGCAGGGCAGGGTTATTAAACATGTTCCCCACAGCATAGCAGGCATTCCAGCGCACCTGAGGAAACATTTTATTGAAAACTACAATTTCACATTTATTCAACAAAAGTATAACAATAATGTTAGGCCAAAAAAAGTCCACCGAGGCTCTGTCCTGGCTCTAGGCCTGGGTAGTCCATGGTACATGTAGCTAGCGACAATACGGCTCACGACTTAATAACTTAGTACATACGCACAGTGCCGATTCATAAATTACGCAAAAAGCCAGTATGTGCCAGCTTGTCATATACATCGCTATGTACTGCCGCAAATTCACAATACCTGCTTTGTATTCCAGTGGTTTAATTTTCGGCCAGAATTTTCTTATGTACCCGCGTGCACTAGTGTGGGGGTCTTCAGAGGGTGTCATCCATAAAATTAAGACGGTGTGGCCTTATCTGTTGTTTTTTTTTCAGAGAAGAAAAAAGATTCAAATGAACTGGAGTTTGTATCCCACCTTGGCCATGCCAGTCTTCACACACTTGGTCAGGACCTGGGCTGTCTGTTCCACATACTGTCGGAAGTTGATCTTGTCTGGGTACAAATTGAGAGAAAAGTAGAAAATATACAAAGCACGAACTCAGGAAAATAAGGTAAATATTCATCATTATCATCATCATGATAAGTAATGAAGCAAGAAATTAGAGATTTCAGACTTCTGGGAAGTATTGGACAGTCCCCCATGCATATGCAATCCCTGGCTTCCTGAATTCCCCCATTTCAACTGATGACTCCTGGCCAGACCCTCATTTTCCTGTTGTGTAGTGTACTCTATAAGGTCTCATGAGTTTTTTCCTTACATTGCGACCCATGCATCATGACCAATTTCCTAATATTCCTACAATAAATCTATTGATTTCTGTTATTCTATGCTGAGCACACTTACTCTACATCTCAAAAAAAAACCATCTCCAATGACTTCTTAACACACAATCCCTTTTTTATGGCAATTACAAATTGCACCTAGCGGCTACCCGCAACAGGCCCTCCGCTCCCGCGCCTCAAAACCAAGCCGCATTACTCAAAACACAGGACTGTCCACATCCGACCTAGCGTGCGGCTGCCGACAATTACGTGCTCTTCAATTACAAATAAGCTTCCACTACATTACATACGTTTTTGATCCATTGGTTTGGCTAAAAAGAAAATTCTCACCAATAAAAACACACTTTCATACAGCTGTTTAATTTTTGGGTTGGTACTAGTTTAGGGTGTACACTTGGAGTAATACATGAATTAGACCATAACAAACTGTGCTTACCAAAGGCCTCGGGCCTGAGAAACCTGACCAGGTTCCCCAGAGTCCTGACAGCGTTGGATTTGACCTTGTCATGGTCAGCAGCGCCCTTCAGAGCAAGGTTAAACAAGCTCTGCAGAAGGACGTCTGAGAAGTTGTCCGTGAACTCTGTCCCTAGCTCATCCCTGGACAAAGATGCACAAAACATAGTGATTATAACAACTTGAGACCAATTGGAAACATAGTAAAACATTGTGCCAGGGAGTTTACATCGTCCACCATCTCTGTTAAGTGAAAATTTGATCCCTGTACAATTGTGTGTTGGAATAAAGTTCAATGTTTACTATGATTACTA